TGGAAAGATAGGATAGAAGAGAGGGAAGGTTAGACATATTATACAATAGAGAAAAGTTGCAATTAGAGTAGTTTCCAATGGATGCGTAGCCAGAAAACATGTGGAGGGTGGGACAAAAAGAAAGTTGTAATTAGCGAACATTCCAATAAATAGGACATAAAGAAGAGTAGAAGGTGCTAGACAGCAGTGAGATGAAAGGAACGGATGTTTGCAAAGGAACAATTTTCCAGTGGATGGAAAGATAGGATAGAAGAGAGGGAAGGTTAGACATATTATACAATAGAGAAAAGTTGCAATTAGAGAAGTTTCCAATGGATGTGTAGCCAGAGAAGATGTGAAGGGTGGGACAAAAAGAAAGTTGTAATTAGCGAACATTCCAATAAATGGGACATAAAGAAGAGTAGAAGGTGCTAGACAGCAGTGAGATGAAAGGAACGGATGTTTGCAAAGGAACAATTTTCCAGTGGATGGAAAGATAGGATAGAAGAGAGGGAAGGTTAGACATATGATGCAGTAGAGAAATGTTGCAATTAGAGAAGTTTCCAATGGACGCTTAGCCAGAGAAGATGTGGAGGTGTACAGCAATGTCAGAAGAAGATGCGACCAGTGAAATTGGACAATAGAAGGTTGGGAGGAAAAACTGAGAATTAATGAGCATTTTGAAAATTGGAACAAGACATGTCAGATTAGTAGAGGTTTTATTAAAAACACAAGCTGGGAAGTTTGAAGCAGGAGCGTATATGAAGTCTCCTGTTATAGGCAAGGAAGTTGAGGAACATTGCATTGAAATGTATCTAAAGCCAAAATGTATTTGAGTAGAAAGTGTTGAAAGTTTTCTTGTCTGTGAATTCTTTGGGGGAGATTCACCTCTTCTTTTTTTTGTCCTGGTGACCATTGTCTCTAGTACAAAAAGTAATAGGTAATCCAAAACCTTAAGAGCTGTCACAGGATCATGAGGTGAGGGTAAAGCTTCTAATAGGTACACGTGCTCCAATAAGAACTGTGACAAATGGGATTTCCCCTTCCTGTTGTGTTTCTGACAGAAGAAAAGAAGGGAAATCTCCCAAATAGAAAAAAAAAAAAAAACAATACAAAAAATAAACTTGACATAGATCTCGACATGTTCTTTTCCTACTCTATTCAAAACGAAAACACTTGAGATGGACGGGAGATGTTTAATATTGGTAGAGATATTGCTATGGGGCCCATCAACATCTGGGGCATGTACATTATTTTATACAGGATGCAATAGCCTCAATGTATATACCCTTTGGGAATCTCTATAAAATAATTAAACAAATTGGATCCCCAGAAGGATTGCCTTGGGGGTGGAGAGTGGAGAGGAACAGGTATCTTAATAGTTCTGCTATAAGGCTCCATCATGCATGGTCACACCCCAGATAGCTGGTTAGTAACTATGAGGATGAGGTTGCAGTTAAGGTTTGGCAGAATTTAGAGACATGGCAGAAATATGGTGGCAGACTGTATAATGGGGTATCATAATTACAGGAGATCATTGATTTGGGTGGACACTTATTACAACCAGAAATAGTAAGTGAATAGAACGTTCTGGTGGCAATTAGACAATGAAGAAGTCAGAAAATGGAGGTAATAAACTAATGTTTTTGAAGTGTAGAGGGGAAATGTAATTTGAGAAATGTAAAGGAAGTGGACAGAAGAATAGAAGGTTACAACAACAGATAACATTTATTCTTCAACCAACAAACAAAGAAACAGACTCCATATAGATATCTACAGTATAGCCAGAGTGCAGCAAAAGTTTAACTTGTTACAGGAAAGATCAAACTGGTATTAAACAGATTAGGTTGGTGCAAGAAGACCAGCGCCTGTGCATAGAGTAAGTTGGAAGACTGGGAAAGGTCTACAAGACTAAGCTGATCTTGTTTGGTTACCCGAGGGGCAGGGTTGGGGGGGTCACAGGTCAGAGGTCGTTTTCAGGAATCTTGTGTTAGTCGTTCAGTCTCTGATGGTTGCACCTTAATCTCAGCCTTCTGACCTCTGACCTCATACTTGGCACGGGTGTTGGCCCTCCGGAAGAATCCACACTACAAGGCAGGAGAGGGGTCATGGACTGTTCAATAAAGGCATACAGTTTTGAAGTAAAGTTTTGTTTCAAAAATTAATAGAGGGCTGGAGAGCTAAAGAGCCAGCACTGGTATAGAAACTTAGCAACACACTCTTAGAAGTATAGCACCAATGAAAATCCAAACTTGCCCAAAACAGCAGCTAAAAGGAAAGTAGTTAAAATAATATCACTAAGCAACCCAAAGTAAATTATTAGCAGTGTATAATGCTTAATGGAGCTTCATGATACCTTGAGACCTTGGAGAACCCTTACTGCATGGTGTATATATGTAAAGGTGCATTTTCAGGCTGATACCTGTACATGACCCCTACCAATTGCAATGTAAGCGCCTCTTCGTAAGTCACTTAGCGACCTACTGTGCATTGTGGGAGGTGGGGTGGGTGGAGTATAAAATAAATTGTGAGCAGGCAGGCATGTAATTGCAGAAGAGATATATGCAGTGTCTCTTCTGCAACAAATCAAACTTACCTGCCTGTTGGCAGTGAGCAGCATTCATAGTGCGGTGCAATGGTGCCTGGGATGCAGAAATGTCCGTGCGTGCAAGGAAGTTGCACTGGCCAATCACAATGGCTAAGGATCCAGTACCTGAATGAAGCTGTGGAGATGTTTATCTGCCCAGTGATGGTCTCAAACATTTTGGGTCGAAGGAAGTATTGGCATTTGTATTCTGCATGAGACCTGGGTTTAAGGGGTCTAGTCTGCTCCTAGTTCCAGTAGATCAAATGGAAAGAATGGCATGACACCTTTTGGTACTCACAACTGTAATGTAATGCATCTTTACTTTGGGTTGCTCCATAACGCATTTACTTCAAAGCCCAACTAACTCCAACCATTATTGTGTTTTTTTCCAAGAGTTACAAAATCTGTCCAGTTGTTATTTCTATATGTGATCCCATTTTTCCACTCTTCCAGTCCTTGCAATAACAATGCAAAAACATTTAGTAAATTGTTTTTTTGTTGTCTACGCCCCCTATTGTTTCATGTCAGTCAGAACAGAAAATGGGGAAACTCTCCCTAAGAGGACACAGATGACAATGAAAACCTGACATAAACTCTAACCCATCCAACCTTTATCCAAATGAGATAAAAATGTTTTGCCTGAAGTTGGACTGTAAAGTCGTTATAGCAGGTAAAACAAGAATATAATGCATCCAGCTGATGGTGATAAGGGAAAAGGAAAATCATATTAACATTAAACACCCTTAAGTTGGCCATGGGCGGTTAGAATCTCGGACGGTTTAGCAGGGACCGACCGAGATTCAAACCATGTATGGACAGGCTGAATGTACCCAAGTTGATCGACTGGTCAACTTGGGTACAACCAGCCTTTTGGATTTTACATGTGATTGTTGCTAGAGGCTATTACAGTGCTGGCATTAATCACTGTGTTTTCCCGGTGGGGATGGCTCCCCCCACTGAGAGAACACAATGGCTCCACGAGAGGAATTCCCCCATCAACACTGAATGTGTTGATGGTTTTCTTTCCTGCAACCCGTGGTTGCAGGAAAGAAAACCGCTCCATCTCTGGCTGGCTTTAGACACTTTTTAAACACACCAATAAAGATAACTGTGACCTTCTGAGAAGACAACAAAGGCATTAAAAATACTAAATGGGTTCATGACAGCCACATGCTTATACAGCTCTCCAACCTTTAGTTGAACAGCCCATAGATTAGGCAGTTTTCTTTCCTTTCTACCACAGGTGGAAGGAAAGAAAACTGCTTGATTCCCCCATCAACATAGTCAGCGTTGATGGGGGAATCCCTCCCACAGAGCTGTTGTATTCAGCCAGAGATTCAATACATTTATGGCTGACTTTACACTGCACGGATCTGTTCATATATTTCCGGAGTTATTTGGAAAATACATTTCATGTAATCAGACAACACTGGGCCCCAATGCTACTGAGTCTCTTTTGGTTACGCACTATATGGCTATTTGTGGACACCTGATCATCACGCATATCTAAGCTTGATGGGCATCCCATTTCAAAACCATTACTATGACATTGCCCCCCTTCCACTTTGTGGCTAAAACATCCTCCACTCTTGTGCTTTCCATAAGATTTTGGAGCATGTCTATGGGAATTCGTACCCATTACTCCAAAAGAACATTTGTGAGGTCAGGTACTGATGTCGGATGAGAAGACCATAAAGCAGCCTTTCTCAACCTATGTGCCTTAAAGGAACCCTTGAAATCATTTTAATGTCTCAAGGAACCTCTGCTAAAACCAATTCATCAAAGGTCATTGGGAAAATTAATCTTTACATTGATAGTCAATGGAAAGGATGCCCCCCCAGGTAGCTAAAAAGATCATTGGTGTCATGCTGCAGACTCTACAAGGTTGTGTTGGCCCTGGAACTACGCAGCTACCATCAAATAGGAATTCAATCAGCCACAGCTCAAGGAAATCCTAGCAACCCCTGGAGGAACCCTGGTTGAAATGCCTGCCTGGTTGAGAATGCCGCTTTAAGCATTACAGTTCATTCCCAAAGGGTTTAATCGGGTTGAGATTATATAGAGTAGTTTTTCTTTGGGTCTTCATGTTTTTTACAACTGCAAGTTTAAAGTCCTGATCCCACTTGCAGTATCTGGAATGCCTTCAGCCTATCACTACACAACAAAACCTCTTATCATAACATCATGATCAACACTCCTTACCTTCCACAGGCATAAAATAATGATTCCCAATAGCAAAATTCCAGATCCTACTGAAACAACAATCAACCACAGTGGAAGTTCAGCTGGTGGGGTCTCTTCTAATTCGGAGTCTATAGCGACTGAAAACTGTGAGCCAGAAACAAACCAAAAAGGGGAAAAACACATCAGCTGAGATAAAATCAATTTAAAATGGAGATCAAAAATATCTTGTTTCAGACTAAAGTTGATGTAAATCCTAACTGGCTGACATCGTTTTCTAAATTCACTGCATATCATAAACAATTTCCAGGCCGTTAGACAAGCTACCTGAAAGAGTCTTGGTACTTCTAAGCAACTCATCAACGAAACCTGCTATGGTCCAGTTTTTATATGTCTCCTGTCATTATAAGCCCCAATGGAGCTGGACTGATGATCCTTTGAAAGGTGTTGTCTATCTATGTGATATTTGCTGTGACTAATTAAAACTTACTGGACTTGCAACTAGCCATTGATGCTCTTGAGTTTCTATTGTATCTACTTTTGATTTACTAAGCAACTTCCCTGGCCCAATGGTTTCTCGGGAGCTGCCTTCGTTTAGAAAACCAAGAATACTTTTTCATATCAGGGTCCAAAGCTCCACCAATTATTTTGTAACCATAATCAATTTCTACAGCTTTTTAAAAAAATGATTACAATACTTCTAAATGCGTGAGCACTTGGGATCCATAGATTCGGTATATTTCTGCTATTTAACGGACTCTTGGCTGGCCCTCTCTCATTTTTTTTCTGGGTTTTATTCTGTATTTTCTTCTGCAGTTCTTTCCTCCTTTTTTTGTTTTCTCTATTTTTGTCTATTATTTTAATGATATTATTCTTTCCACCTTGTTTATGGAGCAATTTTCTCATAATCGACCAAACTTTGTTTATGCTACCAGTGTATTCCTCATTACGCTTTAGTGGTCGATTCTGTTGTTATGTTGCTTCACATTGTACTTGAATTTACTGTCTTATTGTTTATGTTTTGCATCTCCTGTTTTTCTGTATAATGTTTCTAAAAATTCTTAATAAATATATTGAAATTAAAAAAAAATATTTTTAATTAATTCATTTTTGCTGAACATGTAGCTACACCGTAAGAAGCAATTCCAGCCAACAATTAAAATCACTCAGGGCACTACTAAAACTATTCAGTTAATACAGAAGTAGGTGTTCCAGCATCACCACCAGGTGTTCCAGGATCACCACGTTACATCTCAAAGGGCGTAGTTTGGACTGGTCCAACACAGAAACATCTAGATGAAAACTGCACAACTCAACATATAAGCTATATATCCTCTATGTATCTAGGATCTAATTTATCATTCTGATAGGAGTCTACTGCTAGAGCTTCAGTCCTAACTTCCACTTCAGTGGCAGTCTTCAAGAACACATGCCCAGTCTGCAGACTGGCCAATGAAGAAGCAACAGTACAATGGGCCATTGGTTTTGCTCACTTTGCTCTCTCCTGCTGTTAGCATGTCCAATGTTAGCACATGTGCAGTATAACAGAGTTTTAGCTATATTTAAAAATAATACAAAAATACATTAAATGATTTTTCACAAATAAATTAAAACATACAGTATACATACCATTACATGATGCGTCTGCATGTTTATAGATGGAACATCAGTTTTTAGATAGAGTTCTGCTGTTCCTTCCACCCACACTCTATCCACCTGTCTGTAATCCTGATAGGACATAAGAAGAGGTGGGTGTCGGATACATTGAAAAACATAACAAGTTGCTTTAGTTTTGAGCAATATACTGTACAGTGAAGGAAATAAGTATTTGATCCCCTTCTGATTTTGAATGTTTGCCCACTTGAAGGAAAGCCGAGGGCTGGGCCCACAGATTCAGAGGGTACACGATGCCACACAGACACAGACAGCGGTTCTTTTAAAACAATTACGTTTACTGAACAGTTATAGTGATCATGTAGTTGAGCATACGTAAACAGAATGATAACAGCGCATAACCATACAGTAAGAATAATACTGTCTAACACTAACCCCGTACTTGCGGACTTTTCCCCAATGTCCAGAAAGCAGCCTGGCTGCGCCTGAATGTTCCTGAACAAGATATAACGTTGGGGTGCACCCTAAGTATTGCGCAATACTATTTGTAACCCAAAGGAAAGTGGAGTGTGTCTCTTGTAACCTTCTGGTATATCCAAAATGTCACTGACCACGTGTGGTGCGATGTGCTGCGGCAAAGCCGCACTTACAGCTCCCTGGCAGGCTCTTGTTGCTTTCTCCTAATCCACTCCAGAACCGGACCATACAGTCACTTGTTTCCTGGTCTCGTTGTGGTGAATCTTCCCTAGGTGCCGTCGCCAGATTCCACTGTGAGCCGTAAATCCTCTTCCAGGCCCCACACAGATTCTCCAAACGTCCACAGCATCCAACAGCCAGACCCAGACTTCACTTCCTCCTCAGCACAGGAACTCCTCCCCTTCCCAGAGGGTTTGTGATGCAGTAAGTAATTTCCTAATTGCAGCCTCAAACCTGTATTTACAGTTCACTATGACCCTTCTAAAGGGTCCTACTTGGCCCCTAAATTAGTATTCATTAAACTTTATAGGGTAAATAAGCATTTATCTTGTCTTAGCAAAAGTCACTACAAAATCGATTCTTGTACTTTGCTGCCATCTACTGACCAAAGAGCATATTGCAGTTTAACATTACATACCAGTATTTATCCATGCGTCACACCCTTACACACTCACAAAGAAATGATCAGTCTAAAAATCGAATGGTAGGCGTATTGTAACACTGAGAGACAAAATAGAAACAAAAAATTCAAAGGAAATGCATGTCTAACAAATGATGCACTGATTTGCATTTGCAGTTCTTTTGAAATTTTTGTTGCTATTCTGTTTCCGTGTTACAATACACCTACCTTTCAATTTTTAGGCTGATCATTTCTTTGTGAGTGGGCAAACATTCAAAATCAGCAGGGGATCAAATACTTATTTCCTTCATTGTATATGTTACAAATAGATTAAATAGTCCTTTATTGGTCTCGAAGGCAATAACTGCTTTCTTCAGCTAAAAGTAAAGCAAACAGTTCATAGACCAAGTATAAAGAAAAACACATAGCAGGGCTCACCACCAATAATGCAGTCCCACACTGGGGTTTATGGTTCCCCTCTGCTTCAAGGCACGCGTCAAGCCAAAGGAGCCCAAAAAAAAACAGAGTCTCAGTCTCTAGAGTCCACACTTGTTCACAGCTATGACCAGCTCCCCACTACCTCATAGACAAGTTCTGCTTCCTTCCTGATGCTTTTCAAGGCTCCCTTGCATTGTGCTTAAACCCCTTCAGGATCAAAGTCCCTGTAATCAGCGTTTGGAGGTTTTTTCCTACCCAAAGTCTCTCTGAACCTCCGAATTCTAAATCTCAAACAAAGATTTACCAATTCTGAGAGCACTTGAAATCAGTCCTACCCTCTCCAAGCAAACTACTCTAGAACCTTTCACCCTCTATGGGTGAGAACCCCTGGGTACTACAGAAAAAATGTCTATTGAACATTTCCTTAAAGCAGTGGTTCTCAACCTTCCTAATGCCGTGACCCTTAAATACAGTTCCTCATGTTGTGGTGACCCCCAACCATAAAATTATTTACCCAGTAATCATAATTCATGAGTGTCCTTTTACCTCCAATACTGCTGCTTTCAACACAGTAGCTGCTTTTAACAGAGTAGCTGCTTTCAACACAGCAGCTGCTTTCTACACAGCAGCTGCTCTTTACACATCAGAAATATGTGTTTTCTGATGGTCTTAGGGGACCCCTGTGAAAGGGTCGTTCGACCCCCAAAGGGGTCGCGACCCACAGGTTGAGAACCACTGCCTTAAAGGAACCACATCCTAAAAAGTGCAAAAATGTACCTGCTGTCCAGGACACATCCCCAGCATTCTGTACAAGATATATAAAGCAAATAAAAGCTTTGTGAAGATAAACTTGGAACAACAATCCCAATACTTGTTCATCTCGTCCCGCTAGCTTTCAAAAAACAGCTGCTTCTGAAATGTCTTTTGTATAAATTCAATTTAATACTGTCATGCAACTGTAGTGTCTTAAGTGTTGCTTAATAGAGACATGTGGAAATCTGTTTCTACAAAATTGGCCCTGACCCATGCCTGCAACTTACTCACAATCCACTTGTACCCATGACCTGCCCCAATGAAATTGTATCTGCATCTCTATCTGACATCCATTTCACAAGACAGAGCCTTAATGTTATATGATACTGTTAGGGAAAGGTGCATGATACAATCAACTATTAGTGACTGGAAGGCTTTTTTTTGTATTGTGCATATCGGTGACACCAAACCTAATCCCAAATGAGCCTGGGCTGCAACTGCACTGCAATCTGGCTCATTACTGGATTCATTAACATTTACTACCCATTACCTACTCTACAATGTTGATAACCCATAGCTAAGATACCTGGATAACCTGAGTCCTTTGTTCCAAATCTCTTGTCTTAAGTCTCTCTAAACTGCCTTCGTTCTACAACCACGGCACCAAACTGTTATGCCCTTATGCCCTGTTATGACTTCAAATTGATGGTTCACTTTGCAGATTTTGACTATGATAATGAATAAAAAAATCAGACCCACCTCTAAGAACGTACTGTTCCATACTCTTGCTTTTACTGTGATACTTGCTGACTTCTGCATATTGTCCAGGGGGCACTTGAAACGCACGCAGTTTGCACCACCTCCTCTGCATTTCTGTAAAGGTGCCACATCATATTTAGACAATTGAAGGTAAGAAATACAAAACACGATGGACTTCAGTAATCAACATTGGGCTGTACAAACCCACAGTAACCAATCACACTTTCCATTTGTAGCTGCCATTTTCCAGTGCTGGTGTCAGTCTGATTGTTATTAGCCAATACATATATTGAGGAGTGAGATTCATTGACATGAAAGATCTACATAGAAATAAACAATGCCAAAACAGTATATTTCTCTAACCTTTACTCTCTTTGGTGGCACCCAACAGTGTGTAAAAAGATAACATCTCAAATGCTGGATCCTTCAATCTCTGTACAATCTCATCATTATCTGTACAACCTACAGTGATACTGTTGTTTTTAGAATAAGGCGGAAATATTTTCTATGCATGTTTTTCACTGTGAACTCATAAGTGGGGATAAGAGCTGACATGATGCTTGCAATATTGTACAAGAACCACAGAGGACAAGGTGGCCCCATTGGTAAAGGTTAGAAGGCTTCTGGACAGAGCAGAGGAATTTAGGTGCTCTAGAGAAACTAGACCATAGCCAGTTGCCCAACCTTGCTTGGTGAGTGTAGTTAAAGCTGTTGTCTGGGTACGAGTTAAAAAACTAGGAATCGGGAAATGCTGTCTGCCAATTGCTCTACTTCAGTGGTTCTCAACCTTCCTAATGCCGTGACCCTTTAATACAGTTCCTCATGTTGTGGTGACCCCCAACCATAAAATTGTTTACCCAGTAATTATAATTCATGAATATCGTTTTACCTCCAATACTGCTGCTTTCAACACAGTAGCTGCTTTTAACAGAGTAGCTGCTTTCAACACAGCAGCTGCTTTCTACACAGTAGCTGCTCTTTACACATTGGAAATATGTGTTTTCTGATGGTCTTAGGGGACCCCTGTGAAAGGGTCGTTCGACCCCCAAAGGGGTCGCGACCCACAGGTTGAGAACCACTGCTCTAGTTGAACAATTTCCTGTTGAAGGGAATGGTCACTTCAGCCAGCTAGCTGTGCTCTTGGTCAACCAGTCTCCCCACCACCAGTGCCCCCACCACTAGTTCTGCAGCACATTCCTATGTGGTTTGGTCTTCCAGACTTCTCCTGCCAGACTTTAAAGAAGAATTTCTTCTAATAGGATCACTTTGGGTAAAATAGGATGGTTCTCTAGTAGGGTAGGGGGAAGGTTAGACTGTAAATTTGGATTTGCCAGGAGATGGGCTTTGAATAAGAACGACAAAAAAAACACCAAAGGAAAACTAAGTATCATTTGTCTTAAAGTGAAACTAAAATAGTATTGAGCCAATTTATTATTTTTTAAAGATGATACTTTTTCAAAATGATAATATGGAATCTGTTTTACAAGTAAAATGTAATACAGGGAACAGCTATGACAATGGATTCACAGAGCATGCTGGCTTTTTTAAAGAGAAGGAGCTGTTGGCCTTCAGACTCTCTCTTTCTTATTGAATCTCCATAGAGTCCTCGTCAAACAAAAACTAATTCACTTGTGCGTAAAAATTGCACCTTCAGATACCACAGAACTACTTCCAATAGAAGAAGAGCCTGAAACTTGAAAAAAATGAAAGAAAGCAAACCCTGCTGGCTGCTTTTGAAAATACAAAATACTGATACACTGAAGTTCATATTTACTGACTTTTTTTTAGTACTGACCACAGAAAAGGAAACATACACTATATTGCCAAGAGAATTGGGACGCCTCCCTTTACAAGCACATGAACATTAATGGCGTCCCAGTCTTAGTCCGTAGGGTTCAATATTGAGTTGGTCCCGCCCTTTGCACCTATAACAGCTTCAACTCTTCTGGGAAGGCTGTCCACAAGGTTTGTGCAGCCATGTTGGAACAGGAAGGGGCCATCCCCAAACTGTTCCCATAAAGGTGGGAGCATGAAAATGTCCAAAATGTCTTGGTATGCTGATGCCTTAAGAGTTCCCTTCACTGGAACTAAGGGGCCAAGCCCAACCCCTGAAAAAACTCCTCACCATAATCCCCCCTCCACCAAACTTTACACTTGGCACAATGCAGTCAGGCAAGTATCGTTTTCCTGGCAACCACCAAACCGACACGTCCATCAGATTGCTAGACAGAGAAGCGTGGTTCATTCCAAAATATTACCCGGCAGCTCGATTGCTTCTTATCCAGTTTCTTTATTGGTTACAAAATATTGGTACAAGTTTTGTGAGTGCGAAGCGTGATTCGTCACTCAAGAGAACACATCTCCACTGCTCTAGAGTCCAGTGGTGGCGTGCTTTACACCACTGTATCCGACGTTTGGTGATGTAAGGGTTTGCAGCTTCTCGGCCATGGAAACCCATTCCATGAAGCTCTCTACACACTGTTGTGCTAATCTGAAGGCCACATGAAGTTTGGAGGTCTTTAGCTATTGACTCTGCAGACAGTTGGTGAGTTTTGCGCACTATGTGCTTCAGCATGCACTGACCCCGCTCTGTCATGTTACGTAGCCTACCACTTCATTGCTGAGTTGCTGTTGTTCCCAGTTGCTTCCACTTTGTTATAATCCCACTAACAGTTGAGCGTGGAATATTTAGTAGCCAGGAAATGTCACGGATGGACTTATTGCACAGATGGCAACCTATCACGGGACCACGCTTGGAGTCACTGAGCTCCTGAGAGCGACCCATTCTTTCACAAATGTTTGCAGAAGCCGTCTGCATGCCTAGGTGATGATTTTATACACCTGTGGCCATGGAGATGATGATGGAACACCTGAATCCAATGATTTGGAGAGGTTTCCCAACACTTTTGGCAATATAGTGTATAGAAAACCACTTGATGGTCCTGTATTCATCATAGCAAGTAATTATCTATTTTTAGGTCTCATGTAAACATGAACTCCCCTAAACGTTTAGCTCTCCTGGCAGCAGAAAAATGCTAAACAAGGCAAAATTGCTTGTAAAAGTGGCACCACTTTAGCCGCTTTTACCCGCGTTTAGCGCTTGGACATTTATTCATTTGATTGGCCACAGTATTTTCAATTGACAAGCCCAAGCACTAAAAGCCTTTTCTGACCAAAATGCTCCTCAACTGAATGCAATTCTTCTGCGTTCTTTTGTGTTCAGGAGACAAATGTTTAACTGCCCCTAAACTTCGCTGCTCCTAAACTCTGGTAAAAGCCCATGTGTACATGGACACATAGGCTTTTTTTGAGTTGAGTTCAGGGGCTTTGGCAAAAAAAACGCCAAAAGATCCTAGATGTGTATATGAAGCCTTAGGCTTCTACAAGAAATATTATGGCTAAAATCTGATTGGCTGTTTGGTGGTGACAGTGCTATGGTCTTTATTCATCTCATGAAAAACCACAATTGGACACCTACCAGTACAGTGTTGGGCTTCTCTCTTTTAATAGCTGGTAGAGTAGGAACGTCTATTGATTCCACAATTTCTCTGCGCCTCCTTCTATTCTCCAGCTGAAAATCAACAAAAAATCTTTATGAAGCCATAAATAATAATAACACATATGAAGGAGATACATATCTGGAATCATATGTACATATACATGATACATGATGTGATCCATGCTGACATCTCTCACACTGGAGAACTGAAGATTCATTATCTTCTGACAATGTTCCTCAGGGATCTGTGGATACCAAGACCAAGGACACCTCATTTTTTGTAGATGTGGGAGGCAGAAATGTTTGTTCTGAAATCCATGAAATGGAGCCAAGAAGTCTATGAGGGCCTATGTTAATGGACTTTGGATTTGTTTCAATGGCATCAGTTTGACATCAGGTTGAGATACTTCTGAGCTACTTTCATTGACAGGCACTTTTATCCTGCCCTAAGTGAGACTTGAATTCCCGTAGACTTGTATGGGAATGCAAAACCTGCTAAATGGGAATAAAAGCCTGTTGATACAAGTCCTTATGCTGACTTATAGGTCATGTGACATTGTTGATTTTGTCATTTACTGATATGCAACCACCACCTTTCTAAATGAATATTCCTCCTTTGCAGGGTGCAATTCTGCAGAATTATCATCATTAGTGAGGAAGCACTGATGGAGACAAACATCACTGATTCAGGCAGTGAAGGTAGGTTGCTCTTGGCAAGGCTGGTAATCTGGAGCCTATAGGCAAAGAAAGTCTGGTGTCTTACTTACATCCCATCTTCATAAGCCACACCCCTGTTGTGTAAAACCTAGAGGGAAACTGTTACCGCTCCCCATCCACTGCCTGTCAATCCTGCTCTACTTCACAGGCTACAGAACAGGCACTGGACTTGCTGCAGTTGGGTGTGGGGGCAACTGCATCCTGTGTTTCCTATGTTGGAAAGCAGACAACCCTGTTTTCTTGGCACCTATACACATGTGCTTAGTGTGCCTAATGGGAAATATGGCCATAGGAAAGCAAGTGGAATTATAGTAACTCTAATATGACAGCACCAATGCACAGTCAACATACTCCAGAAACCTACTATTGTTCCTCATATTTCAACTCAAAAACACAATGGACTTTGAAATTATAAAAAATACACTCCACTTTGACCTAAGATTAATTAAGAATTATGTTTTTTTTTTTTTTTTTTTTAAAATGCCTATAAGGTCCTTTACAGATGGTATTATACGCCTGCCCGGCTCGCTCATTTTTTTTCCCCTCATATTCTCCGACTTGCTTTCGGGGTTATCAACAAATAGGCACCATGGCTCATATTTGGTGGACTTGCCCCAAGGTGCGCAGACTATGGATTATTAGAGTCTATGCCCTTCTCCGCACTGTTACACACAGATTGTAAGTGCAACCCATACGAGGTGCTATTATTTAAACTATTAGTATGTTTACTTCGTCCTGAGCAGCAGCTGGCATCGCATCTATTTATGGCTACCAAATAACGATCGCGAGAACTTGGAAAACCCCTCTTCTTAGCTTTGAGGCCATTAAGAACCGGATGAATTTTATAATGGCTAATGAGAAGCTAACGGCCATGCTGTTAGACACCCACCCAAAGTTTTTGCAGATCTGGCACCCCTGGATTGATGTGGCCCAACCATCTAGATTTGACCAGACCCTTCTGTCGATATAAGACTCTCCTGGCGCGATCCCCTGGAACCCTTTCTTTGTCTTTACTATCCTTGTTCCTCCCTTCTTTACTTTTTTTTTTTTTTCCTTTTTCTCTCCTCTGTTTTTGTTAGTCTTCATGCTATTTGTGCTGATTGTAATACTCCTAGAGAATCGTACCTGCAATGTTTTATATACCTGTCGGACTTTCTCAAGAGTCCTTGGTGTAGAGTACTGATGTGCATCCAGTGAGGCTCCATGCTTAGCTCTTCTTACCCTCTGTATGCGATTTTTGTGATTATCTTTGGCCCTCACCTACTAGCCCATTGGTCATTATTTGTTTGCTATTAACGCAATTTAGAATATTCCACCATTCTTTGTATTATGTTTATGTACTCAGTTTCTCTCCTTATTAATACTTTAGTGCATTTGTTATATCCTTCATCAGAAGAATTGTATACTTTATTCTTTTGTGTCAGTGATCTTGCTTTTGACTGTTTCTTTGTTGTTGTGTTGTCTATAAAAAAATCCATTGTAAAAGAATTATGTTTTTTTTAATCTTTACATCTCCCACTTCTGAGCTTGACAGATGCCCTGTTCTCTGCTGTGCCATGTTGTGTCTCCCATCCGCTCCTTAAGGCTCTTCTGTGTCCTGTAATGGTGTAGGAATATAAAATCACAGCACATGGTGGGGACACAAGGGTCTGATGCCCTTGAAAGTTTCAGATGTGAAGGTTCTCCTGGAGGATGTAGCTCTTGGAATGAGCAAAGTGAGGACTTGCTGCCCACTGGAGTAGACATGTACTAAGGGTTATCTCCTCATACTGCTTTCAATAGATTATATTTTCAAGACATATTGGCTTTAAAGATTCCAATGGCCACTCAAATTTATAGTCAACTCATGGAGATTAACCTTTCTCTTAGAGATTTTAGGGGCTTCTGCTTGGCAACCTTCTGCTCTGTGGACATTGGAACCAGTGTGGCTACTTTCCCAATAGAATCTATTTTTCTTATGGCAATGAATGCAGACATAGCAAAGCCATACATACAATCTTATGAAAGATACAATTTAAATAAAGGTCTGTTTTAAAGTAGAACTTAAGCCAAAATGTGTTTTTTTTCTACATAGAGTAGGAAAAAAACTATGTGTCCTGTTGAGTTTTTATTGCTGTCTGATTTCAGACTTAATTCATAGTATCATTGCACATTTCAAAGTCACGGTGATATATTAGTAGTCTGGAAACATCTCAAGCCTCTTTTTAAAACATTCAGAGTAGAAGTGAAAAAATACTTACTGTAAGATTTAAAGGATTAATGATATGTCCAGGCGGGTGACACCGTGTCACATTTCCTGTATCAACCACCACCTCTGTTGGATAAAGCAACCATTTTCCATTGGCCACTTCATAGGGCCAGTCAACCGCCAGGACGAGAGAACCCAGATTGTTTAGAGGGTCACCTCTATTGATCACCTGAAGACAAAGGTAGGAGGGGTGAATTCCCTAATATGCCAATACTTTCAGATGGGGTTTCTTCTTGTTGGCCGTACTGTCCTTACCTTAAATGTAAAATTTAAGGGACTTCCCACATCTTCAGCTGTTTTCATGGCTGACTCTCCCATCACTTTACCACCAAAGTAGGTCTGTCGATGAACAGGATTCCTGAAGGTCAGAGATGCAGATAGATGAAAATACTTGTTTTGCTTGGCAGCACAATGATCTTGAGATACTGACTCTGTATACATGAGCAGCAAAGTAAGAACACGTTCCTATTGACCCTGATGCCAGGGCTAGAAATAATGGATTTAGATGAATGGTTCAGTACATATATGAGGGAGGTGCAGCATGGTGTGGTGGCAGTAAAGAAGAGTCTGGTTGCAATAAATCTTGGAACTTGTATTGAGGAAAATGCCAAACTATAAACACCCCAACGGGAAAATGATGCTTAGGGAAGCACTCAAAGTTCAGTTCAAATGCAGAGTTGCAGTGGAGAAGATGCACTGATTGAGATGCCGGTCACAACCAAAAGAGGAGGCTTCTTTGCAAGTCTCTAGCCTTTCCCTACTCATCTGGAACCTTTCCCTGCCACTAATCACTTTCCTTGTCAGGTGGGGTTTCTCTCCCTACGCTACTCACTTTGCAAATGCGCACCAAAATCTGGAGGTAGGGACCTATAAAAGGCTCTGCTGACCCAAGATAGCCACCAGGGGTCGATTGAATGCAGCGTAGCCAACTGGAATACTGTTTCTGTGACCCAGGAAACAATGTTTCCCCCGACTTCCTCTCCAGGTGGTGGTACCACTCAGGTTGAGCGCAAGCTACGGTGGAACAAATAGACCGCATCTGCCTACCTACCATACACTTGCCCAGAAAAGCATCTGCTTTGCCAAACTGAGTACAAGCCACAGCAACTCCTTCAGTAATACTTCAGTTCTTAACTCTCTTTAATGACTGTACTCTGCTCAAATGTAGGGAGAAGGAGGAATAAAGATGGAAGAGGAAGGAAGAAAGAGAAAGAAGAGGAATAAAGAACCAAAGAAGCTGGAAGGAGGAAGAGGGAAGAAAAAGAAAGATAAGAAAAGAGGGAAGAAGGAGGAAGAAGAAAGATAAGAAAAGAAGGAAGAAGGAGGGAAAAACATAAGAAAAGAGGGAAAAAGAAAGATAAGAAAAGAGGGATGAAGGAGGAAAAAGAAAGATAAGAAAAGAGGGAAGAAGGAGGAAAAAGAAAGATAAGAAAAGAGGGAAGAAGGAGGAAAAAGATAAGAAAAGAGGGAAGAAGTGGGAAAAAGATAAGAAAAGGGGAAGAAGGAGGAAAAAGAAAGATAAGAAAAGAAGGAAAAAGGAGGAAAAAGAAAGATAAGAAAAGAGGGAAGAAGGAGGAAAAAGAAAGATAAGAAAAAAGAGGGAAGAAGGAAGGAGGAAAAAGCAAAGATAAGAAAGAGAGGGAAGAAGGAGGAAAAAAGAAAGATAAGAAAAGAGGGAAGAAGGAGGAAAAAGAAAGATAAGAAAAGAGGAAAGAAGGAGGAAAAAGAAGATAAGATAAGAAAAGAGGGAAGAAGGGATGAAAAAGAAGATAAGAAAAGAGGGAAGAAGGAGGAAAAAGAAAGAAAGAAAAGAAAAGGAGGATGAAAAAGAAAGATAAGAAAAGAGGGAAGAAGGAGGAAAAAGAAAGATAAGAAAAGAGGGAAGGAGGAGGAAAAAGAAAGAAAGAAAAGAGGGAAGAAGGAGGAAAAAGAAAGAAAAGAAAAGAGGGAAGAAGGAGGAAAAAGAAAGAAAAGAAAAGAGGAAAGAAGGAGGAAAAAAAGAAAAGAGGGAAGAAGGAAAAAAAGAAAAGAAAAGAGGGAAGAAGGAAGAAAAAGAAAAATAAGAAAAGAGGGAAGAAGAAGGAGTAAAAAAGATAAAAAAAAGAGGGAAGAAGGAAGGAAAAAGAAAGATAAGAAGAGAGGAAGGAAGGAAGGAAGCTGTAATTTGGGATACATAAGGAAGACCTGTGTGATCAGGGATCATGATGACAGCCCCAGATCATTCAAAATGAGTCAGCAGTGACCTCTCTCCTACTTCTATCTCCAGAGGTTCCCTTAAAGCAGTATTAAACCCAAAACGTTATATATTGCATCTTACCAATCCTTAGATGGTGGCTGTATTAGTTTTCTTTTTTTACGCTAATTGTTCACTCTGTTTTTACCTGGTGATCTATCCAGTAACACACGTCTTGTATTAAAGTGCCCCCACGCTGGATGAAAAAACACAGGGGGCACCTGTTGTGTAGACAGCAGCATTGTCAGTCTGGCAGATCGGTGGTGGGGGGTAGATGACCTAGCAGATTTACATACACTAACAAACTGAAGCCAAATGCTATCTTATGATCAGTCACAGCAAACAGGTTTTTTTGAGATAAAGGTTTTACATAAATAAATAAAAGCCGGTCATTGTAGGCATCTCCGTCAGTGGTAAATGGTTTGGCTCATCCCTGTGACTGCTACATCTGCAGGACAGCTTGTTCTGTTGAAAAACAACAGATTTACTGGCAGGATCAGCAGGTGAGAATAAAGGAAATAGAGCCTAAAAAAACCAAAATGAATGCAGCCAACACATCTAAGGCTCCATGTACACAAGCCTACCCTGACCGCCTGCCACGGGAAAATGCAAATCATGGCAAAACGCTGCAACTGCAGTACCGCGGTTTTGCCGCAGTTTTTCCACGACCAGCAGTCAAAACGTTCCTATCCTGAATGTGATTCTTCTGTGTTCAGGAGAGGGAGGTTTAACCTCACCTAACCGTGGCAGCTCCTAAACTCTGCTAAAAGCCTGTGTGTACATGGAGGCTTTTATGGAGTTGAGTTTAGGAGCTTTGGCAAAAAAATGCCAAAGGCTCCTAAAATCAAATTTAGCAGCTGCTCGTGTACATGAGCCCTAAAGCAGCTCATACATTAGTCATTTTTTTGTGTTCATCTAGAATTCCAATGACCCCATCCCCCCTCCATACACTCAACGTGGATGGTTGAATCCTTTTTGCTGATCATAATACATTGATCAGTGCTGTTGGCTTTAGCCGGCGGCACTGATCGAATGGGAAAAACATGGATCGAAATTTGGCAGACTGAAATATATTAAATGTTTGCTTTGGGGTTTAATACCGCTTTAAGTCAAGAAAGAGAACTTTGGAAGTGCTTACACTGATAATAATGTCTCCAGAGTGTAGTCCACCAAGAAGTCGGCATTTTGTTCTTCAAGGTTTTCCTGTTTACTTGACTAAAAACAAGCAAAAAAAAAAAAAAAATAAGATTCATATTGTCCAAGTCCCACCCATCCAAAGTTGCAGTGTAAAGTCACAATGGAAATCACATGACTTTAGAGTCGCACAAGTGAGAATGGAGCCTGACTCCTCCTCCTAAGAGCCAGCCCACGGATTGCAGCATAGCTAAGGGCTCTTCACAGGAGTACTTGGGGGGGGGGGGGGGGGTGGCGTTCTGACATCACTAGGTCATCACTTATTTTGATTGGGTAGGAGAGGCAGTGACATTATGATCTCCACCTTGTCCAATCAGAGAATGCCTTTTAATTGATGAAAAAAATATAACGCATTCTTAGAATGGTGGCAGTGCTGAGCCAGCGCCCCCTGTGCCCGTCTGTTTTTCAAGCGAAAGTGCATTCTCCTTTATGCAGCAGTGGGTGTAAACGAACGGACATGTGTCCATTTACACCAGCCCACATTGAATCTGATCTGCTAAAAAGATGGGGATCCGTTCCCCTTCCATCCAGCGGATTGGACGGCAGTCGGGTGTAAACGGACAGCCGCCCATAGAGAAGAGCAGAGCTTACACAGACCTGTCATCACCTGCTCAGTGGGGATCAGCATTCTTAGCTTAGCATACCCTGCATGCCTGAGCTAAGGGCAGATGGATTCCAGGAAGTAAATGCTACATGAGCCATCTGCCCTTACTCAAGATGCCTGCTGCTAGAAAGGCTGGGGGGGGGGGGGTTTTCAAAGTGATTTCTCAACAAAATAAAGCATGTAGACATGGATGGAACAAATGAAATAGTGTTTTCAGTGGAGCCTGGCCTGGCTCAGTTTGTGTAAGGTGTCCCCATATAAACTTACGTGGACAGCTGGAGTCGAGTGGTCAGTTCTCTTGTCCGTAAGGTAATTCCTTTTACTTCAAAGGTGACATTGACCTCCGCCTACCATTAAAAAAAATATATATATATATAGATCATCACTGATGAGCTCCTACTTATATTGAACCTTGAGGGGTATATTTTTTAAGCACTTTATAAAGTAGAAAACCTTAGAACCTTTGTTGGGTTTTTACTACAGTCAGTGTCCCCACAGGGAGAAATTATCCATAATTTCCTGTGTGGTCATTAAAGCAGGAGGTGAGCAAAGCTTCCTCATAGACAAAGACAGCATTAAAAGCACATTTCAAAAAATAGGGTGAAGGTAAAAACTCCTATCAGGACAGGAACCGAGAGGAAATCTCCTCATTGGGGAGACAATAGTACAAACCAGACAGAGGTTCTAATGATTTCCAGGAACAAAAAAATGTATTGAGCATATGTCAAGGCATAAAACATAGTTAGTACATCTCTGCAATACATGCACGTTTTCCAAGGTTTTATTCCTTTAATCATTCTACAAGAAGTACAAGTACAGACAAATACGTGTTGATGTGAGAGAAATCTACCCTACCTTCTTCTTTGACATGACAACACAGCTCTGAATTTCTTAGCATGTGGTGTCAGCCCTGCCTACTTCATTTCTGATGGATTACAAAATGCACAGATCTCTCCTAATCTCTTCCACCTATCCTCATCTCCGTAACCCATTTCATCCCCTCCTTTCTCCTCATCTCCATAGCCCATCTTCATCTCTTCTCTCCTCCTCATCCCTTGCTTTTCCTCATCTGCATAACCCCTCCTCATCTCCTCCCCCTCCTCTTAACCATAGTCCCGCCTCATCCTCTCCCTTCTCATCTCCATAACCCCTCCTCATCTCCCCCCCCTCCTCTTCTCCATAGCTCCGCCTCATCCTCTCCCTTCTCATTTACATAACCCCTCCTCATCTCCTCTTCACCATTGCCCCGCCTCATCCTCTCCCTTCTCATCTCCATAACCCCTGCTCATCTCCTCCCCCTCCTCTTCACCATAGCCCCGCCTCATCCTCTCCCTTCTCATTTCCATAACCCCTCCTCATCTCCTCCCCCTCCTCTTCACCATAGCCCCGCCTCATCCTATCCCTTCTTGTTTTTCCATAACCCCTCCTCATTCCTCCCCCTCCTCTTCACCATAGCCCCGCCTCATCCTCTCCCTACTCATTTCCATAACCCCTCCTCATCTCCTCCCCCTCCTCTTCACCATAGCCCCGCCTCATCCTCTCCCTACTCATTTCCATAACCCCTCCTCATCTCCTCCCCCTCCTCTTCACCATAGCCCCGCCTCACCCTCTCCCTACTCATTTCCATAACCCAACCTCATCTCCATAACCCCTCCTCATTCCTTCCTGCTTCATCTTCAAACTCCTCCTCATTCCCTCCCTTCTCCTCATCACCACAGTACTTAGCCCCCCACATTACTGTCCTCAGGCGCCCTCCATGTTACTGTCCTCAGCCCCCACATTACAGTTTTCTCAGCCCCTCCCACTTTAATGTACTCTGCCCCCACACACCACAGTCCTTATCCCCCATTACTGTTCTCAGCCCCCCACACAACAGTCCTTAGCCCCCCACATTACTGTCCTCAGCCCACCCCCATGTTACTGTCCTCAGCCCCCCCCCATGTTACTGTCCTCAGACTCCACATTACAGTTCTCAGCCCCTCCCACTTTAATGTTCTCAGCCCCCACAAACCACATTCCTTACCCCCCACATTACTGTCCTTAGAGCCCCCCCATGTTACTGTTCTCAGCCCCCCCCGACCGCAATACTGTCCTCAGCCCCCACATTACAGTTCTCAGCCCCTCCCACTTTAATGTCCTCAGCCCCCACACACCACATTCCTTACCCCCCACATTACTGTCCTCAGCCCCCCACCATGTTACTGTCCTCAGCCCCCACATTACAGTTTTCAGCCCCTCCCACTTTAATGTCCTCAGCCCCCACACACCACATTCCTTACCCCCCACATTACTGTCCTCAGCCCCCCACCATGTTACTGTCCTCAGCTCCCACATTACAGTTTTCAGCCCCTCCCACGTTAATGTCCTCAGCCCCCACACACCACAGTCCTTAGTCCCCCACATTACTGTCCTCAGCCCCCCATGTTACTGTCCTCAGCACCCCCATGTTACTATTCCTCAGCCCCCCCACGTTACTGTCCACAGCACCCACATTACAGTTGTCAACCCCTCCCACTTTAATGTCCTCAGCCCCCGCACACCACAGTCCTTAGCCCCCCACATTACTGTCCTCAGACCCCCCCCCCCCATGTTACTGTCCTCAGCCCCCCTCCATGTCACTGTCCTCAGCCCCCCTCCATGTCACTGTCCTCAGCCCCCCTCCATGTCACTGTCCTCAGCCCCCCTCCATTACTGTCCTCAGCCCCCCTCCATTACTGTCCTCAGCCCCCCTCCATTACTGTCCTCAGCCCCCACACACTACAGTCCTCAGCCCCCACACACTACAGTCCTTAGCCCCCCACATTACTGTCCTCAGCCCCCCCACATTCAGTCCTCGGCCCCCCTTCACACTAATGTCCTTAGCCCTTTTAACTTTGCCCCGCCCCACACTGTCCTACCTACCTTACACAGACAGTGATTGACAGAGAGTGATTGATTGCTAGGACTGCCCTTCATCCTAGCAACCAATCACCTGCTTGTTAACCTCAGGCAGCTCCCGCCCTCCATTCAGAACTGTCCTGCCTCCCACTGTCAGCTCTGTGAGGATGACTACGAGACAGATGGGGGAAGAAAAGGCGATTAAATGGCGGGACTGCATGGGTCCGGATGGGACAGTAACTTGGTCCGTATCCGGACCCCGGTCCGCCATTTAGTCATGCCTGCTCTATTTATTACATTTATGTAGATGCAAGCATGTAATATCGCGGTAAACTAATTAAAATACAACGGATTGTTAGAAGAGGATACAGACCGCGCCTTCTGACTCACCTTCTGGCTTCTCCTAAATGGGTTCCCAAGATTACACAGAATAGTCCCATCAAAGTTACAGGATCGGCTCTGCAAAATTAGAGAAACACAATGAAGCTCTGACCGGGGTGGCACGGCTTTCTAACCGTGTCACAGTGCTACAAGCAAAGTTCTATAACCCACATCATCATCCAATCAGAGTGTTCAGACAACTCCTAGACCCCCCATGAATCTGCTTAGTTGTTATGAGGTAGGCTAGCCATAGGGGGGCAGAAGTCACAATGAGGAGAACAATGGTAGGGAAGACATCTACCTGTTGGCTGTAGCGATCAAACTGGAAAGTCTCTGTGAGCGATAAAAAAATCTTCCTATTGGTTGAAAGCACCTAGGGTGGTTGATGATTGGTTCCTGACCATTATTTACAATTAGTGGTAGTGTGTAGAGATGTGCAAGACAGAAAAATGTATTTCCTTTTGTTCCAGGTTCATTCGTTAAAGTGTTACTAAACCCCGGACCCTGCTATATCCGGTCTCCCCGGACCCTGCATTCACTATATCCGGTCTCCCCAGACCCTGCATCACTATATCCGGTCTCCCCTGACCCTGCATTCACTATATCCAGTCTCCCCGGACCCTGCATTCACTATATCTGGTCTTCCCGGACCCTGCATTCACTATATCTGATCTCCCCGAACCCTGCATTCACTATATCCGGTCTCCCCGGACCCTGCATTCACTATATCTGATCTCCCCGAACCCTGCATTCACTATATCCGGTCTCCCCGGACCCTGCATTCACTATATCCGGTCTCCCCGGACCCTGCATTCACTATATCTGATCTCCCCGAAACCTGCATTCACTATATCCGGTCTCCCCGGACCCTGCATTCACTATATCCGGTCTCCCCGGACCCTGCATTCACTATAGCTGGTCTCCCCCGGACCCTGCATTCACTATATCCGGTCTCTCCGGACCCTGCATTCACTATATCCGGTCTCCCCGGACCCTGCATTCACTATATCCGGTCTCCCCGGACCCTGCATTCACTATATCCGGTCTCCCCGGACCCTGCATTCACTATATCCGATCTCCCCGGACCCTGCATTCACTATATCCGATCTCCCCAGACCCTGCATTCACTATATCCGGTCTCCCCGGACCCTGCATTCACTATATACGGTCTCCCCGGACCCTGCATTCACTATAGCTGGTCTCCCCCGGACCCTGCATTCACTATATCTGGTCTCCCCCGGACCCTGCATTCACTATATACGGTCTCCCCGAACCCTGCATTCACTATATCCGGTCTCCCCGGACCCTGCATTCACTATATCCGGTCTCCCCGGACCCTGCATTCACTATATCTGGTCTCCCCCCGGACCCTGCATTCACTATATCTGGTCTCCCCCCGGACCCTGCATTCACTATATCTGGTCTCCCCCCGGACCCTGCATTCACTATATCTGGTCTCCCCCCGGACCCTGCATTCACTATATCTGGTCTCCCCCCGGACCCTGCATTCACTATATCTGGTCTCCCCGGACCCTGCATTCACTATATCCGGTCTCCCCGGACCCTGCATTCACTATATCTGGTCTCCCCGGACCCTGCATTCACTATATCCGGTCTCCGCGGACCCTGCATTCACTATATCTGGTCTGCCCCCGGACCCTGCATTCACTATATCTGGTCCCCCCGGACCCTGCATTCACTATATCTGGTCTCCCCGGACCCTGCATTCACTATATCTGGTCTCCCCGGACCCTGCATTCACTATATCTGGTCTCCCTGGACCCTGCATTCACTATATCTGGTCTCCCCGACCCTGCATTCACTATATCTGGTCTCCCTG